GATTTAATAAGCCAAGATATCAATCAGCAGTAAGCTACATTTTCAAACTCTTCAGTATTTGATATTAAAACAAATTCTTCTGGCACTTACTCTCTCTCGCAGTCTTGCATCATACTTGATTTCCAAATCTCTGCAAAACTTATTCTTTCCTAGAATGGCAGCAGCAGTCTAAAAAGTGAATATACAGTCACATCAATGGGATGGAACAGAGACCATGTTACACCACAACAGCCAAGGTGAATCACATCAGTAGCACCCAACAACCCAAACCAACAAAATAAAAAGTTTTCCAGCTGAATTTTGTGAGAATTGGACATATAGCCTAGATTGGGAAAAGCTTCTGGACTTTCCTTCACAATTCAAAGTCCAGAAGAGTTGAAACACTTAGCACCTATGAAAGGTGGGCAGCAGGATTTACTGGGATAAAAGCCCCATCTTGAGTGTAACACTGCTCACAAATCCATCGTGTCCACACATTCTTCACATGTACTACATGGGACAGACTCAGGTCCTAAAAACTGTTCAGTTAATCCAACTGCAAAAAACATCTGTCTGACACCTGCCTGGCTGCCACAGCCAATCCCAGAATCATTAGGGCTGGAGAGGACATCTGGAGATCATCCAGTCCAATTCCCCTGCCAAGGCAGGGTCACCTGGAGCAGGGGACACAGGAATGTGTCCAGGTGGGTTTGGAATGTCTCCAGGGAGGGAGACTCCACGACCTCCCTGGGCAGCCTGTTCCAGGGCTCAATGGAAAGAAATTCTTTGTCATGTTGAGGTGGAACTTGTGTTTTAGTTTGTGGCCATTGCTCCTTGTCCTGTCACTGGGCACCACTGAAAAGAGCCCAGCACCATCCTCCTGGCTCCTGCCTTGGAGATATTTATGTGCATTAATGAGATCCCCTCTCAGTCTTCTCCAGGCTAATGAGGCCCAGCTCCTGCAGGGAGATACTCCAGACCCCTCATCATCTCTGTGGCCTCCACTGGATCCCCTCTGACAGCTCCCTGTCTTTCTTAAACTGGGAACTAAAGGATGGCCAACCTGCTCAGTTCCTACATGCACCAAAGTGTGAAGGCTGTACTGGGCTCACATGAACTCTGGACTGGTAATATCTGCTGGTAGTGTTGTGCAAACAGCCACACCCAAACTGAGGTTCAAATAACTCACTTGGAAAAGGCTCCTTGGATTCTGGCAAAGAAGCAGCAGCCTTGTTGTACCGACAAGGTTTTATGATTGATTTAACATATTTCTTAGGAAAAGCTTTATCTTGCAACTTTAAATTTCTGTCACAGAATAACGTCAAAATTCAGATAGGGTCAAGTCCACTTCCTTGTTTATATGAATAGTGTAGTTAATTGTATGATTATATGCTGGAATTTCCTCTTTTTCAACAGGATTTGTACATTCCTTTTATACTTGAGCTATGAAGTGACAGCTTAGTAACAAGACACTTCAGAGATTTGCAGCTGCCAAGAAAGGGAATTCCAACCACATGGAAACTGCACCTTTATACATCTCTGGAAAAGCTTTCACCAAGTCTGGATAGCTTGTCAAACAAATGGCAAAACACATGTCCTTTAGGCAAAGGAAAAATTCAGGTCTGTCTTCTACATTGTGAGAGTACAAATGCTTTCCACAGAAAAGGCTGTCTCCAATATAAGGAAAAAAATCCAAACACAATTCCCTTAAGGCAGGCACATAGCCCAGACAGTTTTATGAAAGTCAGAAAGTACTATTGATTTAAAATATAATCACTGCCTTCCACAGGAAATATGTCCTAGAACAACTGATCTCTGACTTTAAAACTTCTGATTCCCTAATTTTGAGTATTTCATAATCTTGCACACAAAATCACCTGTAATCCCACTCAGTACTTTACATTTTTTTCCTCTTTATTTAACATTTAATGCATCAAGGTGCATTGAGAGGTGTGACGTTCCTGGCAAAATCCAACCTCTGCACATTTAATGATCCTTGTTCTGACTTCACAGCAAAACTTGATCTTGCCTATATTGGCCTGGATTCCTCAGAACTTATTCCACAAATCCACAGGCACAACAGTACATGAAATCCTGCAAAATAAGCTGGCCTTTATCGATTCCCAACTGAGCTGTTCTCAACAAAATTTCCCTACCCATAGAGGCTTCCTGCAGTTCTACACAAGTCAAACTGCAGTGGCGGGTCCATCAAAACAGCTTTTGGCTCTCCTTGCATTATTTTTGCATCATCAATTATAAATAAATGCTGAATTTTGCAGCTAACTGTTGCCTCAAGAAGCACTCACCTGCTTTGCTCGAAGGAGGTCACTTGAAAAGACATGAGTAAACTTCACATTACTGAGAAATACACCAGCAGCATCTGCTTGTCTGAAACCAGTTGCAGAGAGTGGCTCATCCACTCCTTGACCTGCAAAATAAAAACCCATCAACATTAAGACATGCAAATTTTAGATCATTGAGCAGCTGAGCAAGTATGACAATAAAGAGTCTGCTCAGTCATAATAAAATTCTTCTCCTTCAGGAAAGCCAAGCATTGGGAAAAGTTACCGCTCTTCTGGTCTTCCCTAAACTCAGTCACACAATTTTAACAAAAAAAAAAGGAGTACAGGATAGGAACACAGAAGGATCACTGTCAATGATATTTATATTAATCTATACCTCTGACAAATTTAAACTTAAAACCCAAAAACACAAGGCTACCTTCACTTGCTATTCTGGAGAGGGGAGAGAAACCCACTGCACATCATTTGACCCTGAGAGCTTGGAATTTAAAATACATCATTGGTACTTTCAAGAAAGTAAGGCAGGGAAATATTCTTTATTCATTTTACTATGAGCACAAAGCCCTGTTGCAAGATCTGTAAACAGCAATGCCACAGAGGTAGAAAACAGAGGCAAGAAAATCTAGAAGCATGAGCTTTTCCTCACGACATGTAGCATTGTATAAAGTTCATTTATTCAGAGTACAACCCCAGCAGGTTCCTTGTAGTGATGCCTTGATTTTCCTACAACAGACATCCAAGCAGCCCAGTGTGTGTTTCCAGTTTTGGGTGTCCAAGTCAGCAGCCACTAAGGTGAAGTCTAGCTTTAAATGCATCTAATAAAGACTGCCTTCCTAGAAGGAGCTGGGATTGAACAATTCAAGCATTTAAACCATCTTTTTACATTATTATTCTGTAATTTTCCACACCACAATTTTCCAGCAGAATAACTGACACTAACCTTGTAGTATCTTGTCTTTGTTGTATCTTGTTTCTCCACTGAAAGAGATTATAAACAACAACAAAAAAATTAACTCATAATCGGTTTACTGAATTTTCAAAAGTGTTCTTATATTGGACACCAAGAGACAGCAGAGCCTGAATGAGAAAAGCAGAATACAGCACAGATTCTTTTCAAAAGGATGCACCTAAAGGTTTTACAACAACAAAAATCCATTTTCAACTAGTCAGCCCCAATCATGCTATCAAATATTTTTAAGACAAACCCACCTGGAATAAAACGAAATGAAGTAACTACTTAGATTTATCAACAACGCAACATAATTTATCTATAACAACTACACCTCCATGCTGGAGAGGATAAAGTTGCTGGAAGACTCTGGAGCCCTGTTATGAAAGGCATGTGTTGGCCAACTGGACCTCAAGATGAGCCTCAAACAGGTTCTGTTCACAGAAGGTCAGTACTTTTAAAATGAGCTCCCATCCCTTTGGTGAATGATCTGGCATCTTTCTAAAGTGCCTGCAAGAAACTCACACGAACTTTTCAAGCTCAACAAATTGATCCAGGCTCATGTTTTCTAGCTGATGTAAAAATTAACTGTGGTCACAGCACCACGTCAGCAAGATCCAGGTCTTTAAGGGAAGAGTTTCTCTTAACAGGAGGAAAAAGAGAAAGGAAAATCAGTTTTACTGATTAAGTGTTAAATCACAGAACCATGGGATCGTTTGGGTCGGAAGGGACCTGAAAGATCATCCAGTTCCAACCTCCTGTCATGGGCAGGGGCACGTTCCACTATCCCAGGTTGCTCTAAGCCCTGTCCAACCTGGCCTTCAACACTTCCAGGGATGGAGCAGCCACAGCTTCTCTGGACAACCTGTGTCAGGGCCTCCCCACCCTCCCAGGGAAGAATTTCTTCCTAATATCCAATCTAAACCTCCTCTCTGTCAGTTTGAAGCCATTCCCCTTCTCCTGTCACTCCAGGCCCTTGGAAATAGTCTCTCCCCATCTTTCTTGTGGGTTCCCTTCAGGTCCTGGAAGGCCACAATTAGGTCACCCCAGGTTGGATAATCCCAACTCTCTCAGCCTTTCCTCACAGCAGAGCTGCTCCATCCCTCTGATCACCTTGGTGTCCCTCCTCTGGACTCGCTCCAACATCTCCATGTCCTTCCTGTGCCGGGCCCCCGGAGCTGGAGGCAGCACTGCAGGGGGAAGAGTCTCCCCAGAGCGGAGCAGAGGGGTAAAATCCCCCCCTGCCCTGCTGCCCGCGCAGTTCTCACTCTGACGGAGAAATCTAGGGCTCAACTTCCATAAAAACTAAAGGGTTCACTCCTGCCCATCGCAGGCAGCGGGAGCTGCTCCGAGCGCCCGCGGCTCTGGGGCTGCGCGGTCCGTACTCACTGTCGCACGACGGTCAGCCCGAAGCGAACCATGGCGAGGTCGGCTCGGGTGAGCTCAGCTGAGCTCAGAGCCGGGCTCAGGCGGGATCTCCGGTGGGATTCCAGGTGGGAATCTCAGGTGGGATCCCAGGTGAGCGCGGATCCCGCTGCCCGCACTGCGGCGCCGCGCGCCGCGCTGTGACGTCACGGGCCCGCCCCGCGTCCCGCGGTGACGTCAAGCGGGAAAAGGAGGTGGCTCCCGGGAAAAAAAAGGACGCTCCGGGAAGATCTCACCGGTCCCGGCGTCTCCCTGACAGTAGCGGGACAGGCTCTGCTCTCAGGGAACCAGCGACGGGACGAGAGCACACGGCCCGAAGGGGAAGTTCAGGTGGGATATCAGGAAAAAAAAATTCCTCATGGAAAGGGTTTCCAAGCATTTAAACAGTCCGCGCGCCGTCCCTGGTGGTGCTTAAAATAGATTTAAAAGCCCCGTGGCTGCGGCACGTTGCGAACAGGGCTCAGCGGTGTTAGGTTCGCAGCCGGACTCAGAAGTCGCCCCCACCCCAAATGATGCTCCGATGTCTCTTTGCAGTTGTAAGCAGGTGGTTTTCGCCTTAAAACCCTGGTTTTCACGTGATTTCACGATTCTGGTGTTAAGGAAACTTCCCTGCCCGACCGTCCAGGAGCCGCTCTGGCGGTGACACTGTGGCACGACCTTCGGTCCCCCTGCAGCTGCACCCGGAGCTGCCTGCACTGAATATGTTCCTCGGCTCCAGCACCAGAGAGTTCAGTAAGTTTGTCACGTTGCAGAGCACAAAATACTTGGTGATGTTCAGCCTGGTTACATCGACTCAGTTAAGAACACTTAATCGGCAACGGGGCTTTGCTCAGAGTAGTATCAATACATTGATATTTTTATGATAAATGAAATTTATATGACAAATGCAAATGGCATTACTAACAAGGCAGTTAAAAGTCTTGGGAGCCAAATCACACCCCAGAGTAACCATCAGCAAAGGAAAGCTGGTTCAGAAGAGCAGTGTCAGACCGGCGGTGTACAGGGTACAAAGTGTATGTGGTGTGGGCATCCACAGCCAGCTGGGACCATGCTGGCCTTGGGCTGCAGAATCACAGAATGGTTTGGGTTGGAAGGGACCTTAAAGACCATCTCGTTCCAACACCCCTGCCATGGGCAGGGTCACCTTCCACTAGACCAGGTTGATCCCTGTCCCTGTCCAACCTGACCTTGAACACTTCAGGGATGAGGCATCCACAGCTTCTCTGGGCAACCTAGAAATTACTGCCGGTGAAGTGGACAAAGTAACACAAGAAGTGACTGGAAATCCTCCTCTGACCCTCAGAAAGCTGAATTTTTATGGATTACAGAAAATATGATTAACCAAAATGTTAGTTGGTCAGATAGCTGAGTGTGTTTCCTTTTGGATTTCACAACCAGATGGAATAAATGCTATCTAAAAATCAGAAATTCTTCTGGTTTGCGCAGAGATCTGACCTAACTTTGCAACTGGTTTGAGCTTTAACACCAAACACATCCTAAATGATACCTAAAATGTAATTTGTTTCATTTGATAGTTTAAACCAGCTGCTAAATTAAATCTTTAATGCAACAGCAGGTCTGTTTCATTCCTGTTTTATCTTCTTTGGCAGCGTGGAATTAACCTCATATTTCTGCAGTGCTTTTGCTCCACAGATTTCAGAGCTGACATTTTCAAGGGGTGAGACCAGTGACATGTCTCTCCTCTGTAAATGAGCCAGTGCCAAATGACTCAGCTCTGGCCTATTTCTCTTGTATCATTGTTAAAAACAACTGTGTTTTGCTGTGATGAGGAGACCCCAGCTGTGTCTTGAGCATGTTTTAGAAGGACAAGAATCAAACATGAACCAACACTGTTGGCATCTATATTTTTATAAGTACATGTTTTGATACAGGTCCATTTGCAGAAGTGATAGCCCTTCAGGCAAAGTTTTAAAGAGACTGCCTGAAGTTGCACAGCATTAACATTCTTATTTTTCATTTCTTCCTCCTCAGAAATTTCTCTGATCTGCACCAGCACATCGTGTCAGTCCGTGTTCACGAGTCTATTTGTTTAAATTGACCCATTGAAACAAAATGTTTATAAAGCACAACTGCTACCATGAGCACAGAACCTCACCAAATGAGGAGCAGTATTTTGAGGAAGTCATCCTGGGAAGGAAGAGCTTTTCTGAAGCCAGAAATTAAGCATTTTTGAATGAGAATCTTTTTTCCCAATAGAAATTTTAAACTTCAGTAATGCTGACTGTCTACTAATATCATCATCATGTAGATCTCATATCATGAACATCAGACAACATCCTAAATCCAGAGTTGTGATAGAATCATAGAAGCATAGAATGGTTTGGGTTGGAAGGGACCTTAAAGATCATCTGTTTCCTACATCTGTGCCATGGGCAGGGACACCTTCCACTATCCCAGGTTGTTCAGAGCCCCATCCAACCTGGCCTTGGACACTTCCAGGGATGGCGCAGCCACAGCTTCTCTGGCCAACCTGTGTCAGGGCCTCAGCACCCTCCCAGGGAAGAATTTCTTCCTAATATCCAATCTAAACCTCCTCTCTGTCAGTTTGAAGCCATTCCCCCTTGTCCTGTCACTCCAGGCCCTTGGAAAAAGTCTCTTTCCATCTACTTTGTGGGTTCCCTTCAGGTCCTGGAAGGCCACAATTAGGTCCCCCCAAAGCTTCTCTTCTCCAGGCTGAACAATCCCAACTCTCTCAGCCTTTCCTCTTAGGAGAGCTGCTCCATCCCTCTGATCACCTTGGTGTCCCTTCTCTGGACTCGCTCCAACAGCTCCATGTCCTTGCTGTGCTGGGCCCCCAGAGCTGGAGGCAGCTCTGCAGGGGGGGGTCTTCCCAGAGCAGGGCAGAGGGGCAGAATCCCCCCCTCCCCTGCTGCCCACACTGCTTTAGGTGCAGCCCAGGGCACGGGGGATTTTCTGAGTCCAGCCTCTCACCCACCAGCACCCCCAAGTCCTTCTCCCCAGGGCTGTTCTCCAGCTGTTCATCCCCAGCCTGGGTTGATACCAGGGTGGTTGATATCCAGACCCAGGTGCAGCACCAACACTTGATCTTGTTAAACCTCATGAGATTCCCACGGGCCACTCTTGGAGCTTGCCGAGGTCCCTGTGGATGGTTCCATCCTTCATGTGTGTCAACCACTCAGCTGCAAAATTGCTGAGGGTGCACTTCATCTGTGTTGTTAATGAAGATATTAAATAACACTGGTCTGGTCTCCATGCAACAACAGCTGGCAATTAGGAACACAAAAGTGAAATCATCAGGGAATGCAACCCACTGGTCATTTGGGATCTGATCTCGCTCCTTGCTCTCACAAGTACACCAGCCCAGCAGAAACCCAGGCTGAACTGCCTCAGCTTTGTCCTCTCCCACTTCTCCCCGTGCGTAATCTGTGCCTGAAGGACCTGCTGGTGTGAAGAAATGCGTAAATCCTACAGAGGGATTGTGCTTTTCCTTTCCCGGCCTGGAATGCCCGGGGAGCTCCCGCGGGAACACCGGGACGCGCCGGGCCGTGGGCGCGGCGGTGCCGCCACCGCGCGGCCACGCTGCGCTCTGCACCTTCCCATTCCCGTTCCACCGCCTTTCCCTTGGATGGCGCGTCCCATCTTTTGCGCTGGTGCTGCTGCTCGTTAAGGAGAATCACGTCCGCGTTTTAGGCATTCCTGTTGCAAATTGCTACAGCGTTAGGCCAAGCCTTAATACCTAAACTTGGGAGGTTAAACAGTAACCATCAGTGCGCTCCAGAAAGATCTTTGTTGTGGGTAAGAAGCAAATCCAAAGAAACTGAAATAAAAAGCTTCTCAGAGAAGCAAAGAAGTGGAACTTAGAATCATAGAATCACGGCATATCCTGAGCTGGAAGGGACCCACAAGGATCATGGAAGTCCGAATCCTGGCCCTGCACAGGACACCCCAAGAATCACACCATGTGCCTGAGAGTGGTGTCCAAATGCTTCTTGAACTCTGTAAAGCTTGGTGCTGTGGCCACTGCCCTGGGGACCCTGTTCAGTGCCCAACCACCCTCTGAGGGAAGAACCTTTTCCTGAGATCCAGCCTAAACCTACCCTAATGCAGCTCCAGCTGTTCCCTTGGGTCTGTCACTGGTCACCACAAGGGCAGAGATCAGGGTCTGCCCCTTCACTGCCCCTCGTGAGGAAGCTGTAGGCTGCAAAGAGGTCTCCTCTCAGAGGGAACTTGAGGAAGCTGGAAAAATTGAGAGAAATTTTTGTTTGGGTGTGCTGGGTAAAAATGCTGATTTCATTCCTCATCCTTCAGCTGGTTATGTCCCATTCACAACTTTGTTCAAGTTCTGAAAACCCTCCCTGTCAGAAAGGTCAGTCTATTGCTCTTCAGGGATGCTTGTGGGTCCCCTGTCAGATGAACCAGAGCTTTTGCTCCAAGAAGTATTACCAAGTAATTCGAGGAGCCAAATGCAGCTGGTCTGCTGACCTTTCTCTCTCTCTCTCTCCTTCCCTGCTCTGTCCTAATTCTTCTTGTACTTTCTACATGTTACATTTTGGAAGAGCTCAAATAACATCCTAGTTTATTTTTAGAGAAAGCTCAATAGTAAGAGCAAGCTATCACCCATCATTTCCACAGAAGGATAGGCATTTAAAGAGACAGACATTTTCCCTTTTTTTTCCTTTTTTTTTCCCCCCTTTGTATCAGCTCCTTTCTCCTTGTCTTTCAGGATGCAGCAAAACTCAGAGGAGCCTTGGTCTTTTTTCATACCTAAGTGTAAATACTTCAGCTTTACTCACCTTACTTTGTAATCCTAACAGGTCTTGATTTAATGTGTCCATCAGAGGAGATGCTCACCTGAAGCCCACCTGAGCACTGGCCTCATGTTCTCCCTGGCAAGTGTCTTCACTAAGACTCCCACAATTTTAATTGTTATCTCCTGGAAGCATCAGCAGTAACATCAGCTGCCACACACACTTTTTGGTGTCAAAATATTGTGGTACCTGTTCCCCCGAGGCTGCACACAGCAGGAATGCAAATCACCTTTGAGAACTATTTTAAATAGAATCACAATCCCTTTTAAATAGAATCACAATCCCAGAATCACAGAGTAATGTTGGAAGGGACCACAGTGGGTCATCTGGTCCCACCTCCCTGCTTCAGCAGGGTCATCCCAACGCACATGGTACAGGATTCCAGACAGCTCTGGAATATCCCCAGTGAGGGAGACTCCACACCCTCTCTGGGCAATCTGTTCAGTGCTCGGTCACTGCACAGCAAAGAAGTTCTTCCTCATGTCCAGGTGGAACTTCCTGGGCCTCAGTTCCTGCCTCTTGTCCCATTACTGCCCCCCCACCCCCCCAAGCAGAGCCTGGTCCATCCTCTGCCCCCTCCCTGCAGACACTGACACACATGGATAAGGTCCCCTCTCAGTGTCTCTTCTCGAGGCTGAACAGCCCCAGCTCCCTCAGCCTTTCATCATAAGAGATATCATCATTATATTTAGAAAAGCAAAAGAGTGTTTGGTTTGCTTTTAATATTTCAAGTAGGTACAAAGTAAATGTGGTACACTTGGCTTTCTCCACAGATCTAAAAGGATCCTCAAAGAGCTTTGAAAATAAACTTTCCCTTAACTGTGAGGAAAGATTCAGCAAGCTGTGGGGGTGAAGAAGCAGAGCACAGCCTCTTTCCCTGCCCTTCCAGCTTTGATTTGCAGACAGCACAGAGAAGGCTCTACCACAATTCTCTAATACCTGAATGCAACTACTCTGTCTTTATACCTGCAAGGGGATGCAGAAAGGTGAGAGTGTATCAGCAATAGAGCTACAAAGCCATGTGGTTTTCCAGGCTTTTTCTTCCCCATGAAAAGTTAAAATAGACTGTTTCTACCTGCCTTTCCATCAACATTACATTTACTCAGGTGACTAATAATTTACATTATTTACATATATTATTTACATATTACTATTTACATGAGGCATGAACGAGGTGGAGTTGGTGGGAAAATTACTAGATCTATTGAAGAGCTCCCACTGTCTTCCAGCAGGGAAAGAATTTCATTCTGCTTGTGCTGGTTGCATGAGATTTGATGGGAATTTTGCTTTTTAGGGCAGCATGGAATAAAGAGCAACTACATAATTACTGGACAAATTAAAAAACACACAGCAATTGCAATAGAAGAGTTTGAAGACTCCTGGAACAAGCATTCAGGATAACTTCACTGAAACACAAAGGAAAATTCCCTGCATTTCTTGTCCCCACAGAAAAATTTTGGGAAATGTAAAATAAAACACAACCTAACTCGTATTCTGAGATTGGAAACACCAAGCAATTATGTGTTTGGGTTTTTTTTTCTGGAATCTTGGTGCTAAAGCTTTCTTTCCTTTGCCTCAGAAATTTCCTTAAACACAGGAGTCAGTCCAGCCTGTGCCCATCCAGTTGTTTTAAGCATGATTTTTCTATGTTGTCCCTTCTTAAAATCCTCAGGCTGTACTTATATAAAGTATAGGATCATGATGGGCAGAGATTGTTTGCAGATGGTAAGGAGATGACAACACAAAATGGTTTCACAGGCCACATAGTAGTGAAACTTTACCCTATTGTCTGTGGCTTCTCAGCATCCAGCCAGCTTTCTTCAAAGGAAAGGACAGGCTGTTGTCCAATTAATTTCAATTTTAGCTGCTGTGCCCCAATTCTGAAAATATATATTCACTTAATGACAACAGAACATCTCCTTCCTTCTAAATCTAGATTTAGTCAAACCTCTCAAAACATGAAGATACAGAGCACATCCATGCAGTTCCAGGGCTGGTGACACTGTATCAGGAAAGGAATTAATCCCCTAAACCCCAAAATTAGGCTGGAGAGCACCCCTTTGAGCCTTAGACCACGAAAGGAAGGTGTAAGAACCCTCACAAGTTCTTCAAAGGCTTCAAGTTGTGCCTACAAAATGCCAGAAATTGTTGGTCATGTTGTCAAATGGTGGCCAGAGGAACAGAGGACACGTTATGTTTTAGAATCTCTACCTTTGCTGCACACAACCTGGGAAATATGAGGTTCACAGGCCACTTTGCAGGGAAGTCTTCACAGACTTTGACTAAAGCCACAGGTCCCACAGTCATGTGATTTTTTCTAAAAAGATCTGTATGTCCTGATTTCCAGCCTCCTGATTTAATTCATGTTTCCTATTAATTTCTTATTAATTCCTATTAATTTAATTCGTATTTCATACTTAATTCATATTCATATTAAATTAATATTTTCATCCATTATTTTTTCTATTTGTTTATTTTTGCTCATATGTTTATTTCAGCAACATTTGTTTTTTCCTTTTTTTTTTTCTTCTCCCTGTTCATTATATCTTGGAGTTTGTTTTTTTTTCTTTCATTTATCTAGTATTGGCAGTATTATTCACTTGATGATGGTGTTTCCCCAGCATGTCTGCCCAAATGCCTCTTCTTCATTCTTCAGTGCTTCTTTGCTCTCTCAAACTCAGGAGAAAACTCCTTCTGGATGGCAGTGGAGGAGGGATGCAGAGGTCAGGCCAAGCACATCACACAGGCTGGTCACTTCACAGCAAACATCCACAAGCAGATGTGGGAGAGGTTGAACATCCCACCTCTGGCCACAGGCTTAAGCACATGGAGGCCCTGCCTTCACCACAAATCCCACTCCTTTTACTCTGTTTGCCTGAATTTTACAGAAACAAAACCCACCTAATTTTTGCAGTAGCATTCCAATGCAATGGGGATTTAAATCATATTTCAGTAGGTTGCAAAAACAGGCACTCCCATGTCCTTACAACGACTTTTCACCAACTCCAGTTAATTCCGACAAAATGTTTTCATCCTGTAACTTACCTTTTAGGGCTTTGTTCTCCTTAAATCTCACTGGATTGTTTCACAGAAGAAACATGCCAGCATTTGCCTATCCAGTAGGCAGGAAAGCTTGTTCTGTGATTGTGACACTCAACAGTGCACATTTTGTATTGTCTGCTGACACCACCAACCCAGATCAGAGGCTTTAGAATCACACTCTTTGCACCATCACAATCACACCCAGGAAAACACCATCATAAAGTGAGGAATGCAGCCAAATTCAGGGAAGGAATAAAAAGCAAGGCAGGCAAACTTAGGTCAAGGTGAGTTTATTGTCCATACAGCATACCTAATCCCGCCAAAACACTTGTCTTAGAACCATCTTTAAACTAGTCAAAACAACAGGTTATTAATAAAAATGACAACACTGAACAAAGACCTTTTAAAAGGTAATCAAGACTACACCGTATCAGAGTCTTATCCATTGAAAACAACCTTGTGTACTTTCTAAATACTTTTTGTTTACCCTGATGTCTACTACCACACTTTCTAGCATCCCCTGACCACATAAACATCCACACCTCTTAAAGAGCACATTTGTGAGAGAATAACATTGACTTGATATGGCATCACACTCAATAAAGCCAAAAAAAACCCAAAAAAAAAAAACCAAAAAAAAAAAACAAACCCAAAGAAGTTTGAGAACAGAAACTGTGCAACCGAGAGTGATTTCTGAGGTACATGAGAACATGGTAATAAACATAGTGGAAAAAATCCAGTGGCCAGGTGGCTTGCTGAGTAATGAAGAGCCATCCGATGACTCAAGCACAAATCATCGACATTGACATGGGATTAATCATTTTTCTCTTTCATGAGCATGTTGGAAATACAAATAAATACACTATGAGGTGCTCCTACACTACAGGAACGGGAGGGAGGGGAAAATCATCACAAAGTACCATCAATAGGAAGCTGAGAGAGAAATGCTTTTAGCAATTCTGCCAATCCTTTGGCACCTGGGAAGGCATAATCAGCACCACTTAATTTTTTCTTAATCAATCAATTGGAAGGTTTAGGATTTCTGCAATTCAGGGGGAGGGGGATGCTCACACCTCATTTGCAATAACAGGGCACTCCCTTTAACATCTGTTAGAAGAGAGCGCTAGACAGTAATTTTATTTTGGAAGCTACTCTGAAAACACTCAAGTTCTAGGTTTTCCAGACTTTAAACATACAGTAACCAGGTGGTCCCTGTCAGGGACTGGGGCCAGCACAGGCCTTCCAGGTCCCTGTGAGGGACTGGGACCAGCACACGCCTTCCAGGTCCCTGTGAGGGACTGGGAATGCTGAATGGTGCTGCTCCTTCCAGCACAACCGGATCTGACCTCGGTGGTGGCCCTCAGCCCCTTTCTTGGGGTGTGATCCTGCAGAGATCACTTCTGTGATCCCACGGGACCAGGGCATGCAGGAGACGAAGAGCAGGGGCAGGCACCCTAAATACTAGTGCTGCCAGCACTTGACCTCCAGCACAGAGGGGAGCAAACCATACAAACACGATGAACACGGTGCCAGCGCTCGTGCCGTGACAGAGAGGCCATCCCACCATCTGGGACCCTCTGGCACATGCAACCACATTTGCTGTCTGGGAATGGTGTGATCTGTCACACACAAGCTGCGTGGAGTCTGGCTTCAACAACATTAACTATTTTTTTTTTCCTCCAGGAGAGACACTGTCGCTGAACTCCAGGCGCTCCCAGCGCGGAACATCAAGGCGGGAGGTGAGGACAAGGCTGTGCCCACCAGCAGCTTTGGGAAAGATGGACCAGCCAGTGGAGAGTCAATGCATTTTTTCCACTATGACAAGAATACCAAAGATAAAAAGGAGCCAGTGCCCCGCCTTGGCTGCTTGCAACCCCTCTCCAGTGCGGACAGAGCGCGGGCCCCGGGGCGAAACCAAACTGTCACTGTGTGAGGTATTGTGAAAATGGGAACCATTTGTTTTGTCCAGCAAACCTGAGGTAAATATACCATCTTTGCAGGATGTGATAAGGAAGGAAAAGGGAAAAGAAAAAAAAAAAGAAGGAAAAAATAAAATAAAAAAAATAATCATGAACACGCTATTAGGAAAAAAAAACGACTGTACAGGGCATTTCCAGTAAATCAAAAGAACTCATCATATCTCCACTTAACCATCTACTTCAGGATTTGAAATTTAAGCAGTAAAATAATATATTATAAAAATGTTTATAAAATAGCAGCACACTCAGTGAAACAATACAGCTAAGTACTGTTAATGTGAATAAGAATGAAACAAATCATAGCTTCTTAGCAGCGCAAAAAAAAAAAACCAACCAAAACCAAAAAACCCCCAAAACCAAAAAAACCCAACAACACCTTAGAATCTTACTCCATTTTTCTACCCTCATCTAGCCAAATACGGCTGAGTCCATACATATAATTTTCTTCGAAGTAGCATGTTCTTTCTGGATTTTTTTTCTTAAAAATGCAAACATTAACATTTCAAACCAACAGCTTCATATTGGATATCTGCAAACTGTTAATACATTTGTGCAAAAAAAAAAAAAAAAAAGTTGCTCCAACTCCTTTTGCCATCTAAATGCCTCTTTGTTACAGGTGGAGCAGGAAAATAAATTCAAGTACACTGAATACACCTTTGTAATAAAACTCCGAGTCACACACCTCGATGTTTCCCATCATGTCTGTTGCACCAGGAATGTTCTTGCCTTGTCCACAGATGAGCATGAAGGTGGTTATTAAGATCCTTCTGTGACACTGAACAATACAGATGGTCAGGCTTTTATCCGGAATGTCATGACAGGAATGTCATCTGAAGTGGGTATTGGTATTTCCAGCAACACCTCAACTAACCAAGTACACCAAATACTGGAAAATATTGACTATAAAAAGCTATAGGCCTTGTTTTTGTGACTTCTTTCTCTTTTTTTTCCTTTTTTTCTTTTTTTTTTCTGTTTTTTTTTTTTCCTCCTCGGCAAAATTGTCATAAACCATCTCATTTAATCCCTTAGGAACAATTTTCAAAGTGCTTTTCGAATGAAATGGTTTACAAAAAACGCTCACTGTGGATCAATAAAGTTAATGAAATGCTGAAAAAGTGTGCAGGGGTGGTGGGGGAAGATGGGAAGGTAGACGAGGGATCGAACCAAATCTCATCTTCTTTAACACAGTGAGGTTTATGTCAAAAAGGAAGATGGACAGAGCATCATTTAAATGTCTTTATGGCCAAGCTAAGAAGCTGCCAGAAGTTAACATTGACGTGAAGCATTAGCACTGGAAAGGAATATAATGCTTTTCATAGGTGATCCACCACATCTTGCAATCCAAAGGTTGGAGGTGGTCTAATTAGAGCCAACCACTTGGGATTAATGCATGCATTTCCCCCACTGAACATCGATACTCGATAACTTTGGCTTGGCCCACAGCTGGGTAAACGGAATTGCCCTTATGCCAAAGATGCTGCTGTGTTTAGAATGAACCATTTCTGAAGGAAAAGTAGAAAAAAGTCAAGAGGGGAGAGGGGAAGTTGAGAAAAAAAGAAAAAAAGAAAAAATAAATCAACTGAAAATAAAAACCAAAAAACACCTGCTCTTCTGGCTGGTAAAATAAAGCATCTTCTTTCTTAGGTAGCAGCTACCACAGACAGCAAGAGTAAACAAAACTAACATACAGAGATCCAACAAACACTTCTGACTAATAACAGAGGTGACAGATCAGCAAATCTCTTCTGCATTCAAAATGGTTCAATTGCTTCGGGGATCTTTTCCCACTTTGCCCTAAACCCCTTATTCTATTGCTTTGCAATCTAGTCAAGCCATAAAATCGCACACACGATTCCTTTCTTAAATCTAAAAAAGGGGTGTATGCACTAGGTCATAATACACAGACAAGTATACTCTACTTTGTTCCCACAAATGCAGGCTTACATTGATCTAGCTACTTTGTATGCTTTTATAAGCATTTAATATCACTGATACATAATCAAATAGCAATTACCAAATATATTGTGGGATTCCCTTCTGTAAAACATCACAGGCACCAAATGCTTTTTTTTCATTATTCAGTTTTTGTTTTGTCTTTTTTTTTTTGCTGTTTCTTTGTTTTGTTTTTTTTTTTTTTTTGCCTAAAAGAGGTTTAAATATGCTCTATGTGGGAGCAGATTAAAAAAAAAATTCACTCTAAAAATAATAACAAAAATAAACTGGGCTGGGAGGAGCAAGCGTGACTTTGTGTGGTGATGTCCTCACAGGTTGATATCCCTCACATCTGTGGGAGTGCTGGCCTGGTCCAGTTCATCCACCGTCTTGGAAGGATTGCTTTGCTGCTGCTGCTGCCGGACTTGCCGAAGGCTGTTTACTAGCACCGCCTCAATCTGTTCCTGACAAGCTTTAAGGCAGTCCTAGACAGAAAGAAAATTGATCTGTTAGTGGAGACAAGGCAGGGTTTTTTTCCTTACAGGGTTTTTTCCCTTACTGGGCACTAGTCAGAAGAGCATCAATCTGGTGTTCCCCAAGGAGCGTCTGCTCTGATGCAAAATGACTTTGAATTCTCACGGGCAATCTCTGTGTACAAACTGCTTGGGTTAAACAGTGCTAATGCCATATTTATTAGACTCTAAATCTTAATATTTTACTGGTCCTTGCTCAACAGGTTGCCCAGAGAAGCTGCAGATGTCCATCACTGGAAGTGTTCAAGGCCAGACTGGGATGGGGCTCTGAGCAGCCCGGGATAGTGGAAGGTGTCCCTGCCTATGGCAGGGGGTTGGAACTGGGTGACCTTCCAGATCCCTTCCAACCCAGGCCATTCTAGGATTGTATGATTTGTGTGGACTTCTTGAGCAGGAAAAAAAGCACGGAAATGAAGGGTATATGATTTTTTTCAATGTCCTATGAAGGGTTAAGTTACTTGAGAGGGAGCAGAGCCCGACCCCCACCTGGCTACAACCTCCTTTCACGGAGTTGTAGAGAGTGAGAAGGTCTCCCCTGAGTGCCCTTTTCTGCAGGTTAAACACTCCCAGCTCCCTCAGATGCTCCTCATAAGACTTACTCCCCAAACCCTTCCCCAACTCTGTTGCCCTTCTCTGGACACACTGGTACTGGCTCCTCCAGTGCCCAGTACAGAAGGGCAATCCCTGCCCTGGTCCTGCTGGCCACACTGTTGCTGACAGAATTTGTTCTCTGAGCACATTCTAGAGAAGAAAAGTGATTTCAGCAGCAGAGGAGGAGGAGATATAGGGTGTGCTCTTCACTCTGAGAGCAGGACTATTTTAACAGGAATAGTTACTGGCAATAATTCATAGAAGACAATAAAGCAAAGACTAGATACTAGAAAAATGTGTAAGTCAAAAACACACAACCAAGCCTCAGAAGCCACTGTATTTCAAACTATACTACATAACACTCAGAGAAACAGCAGGATACACAAATGTGGGAACCTTGTGCATCAGGAGTCCGACAATAAACATGAGGCATAAATACAGAAATAATTGAGAAGGATTCACCACACTTAAACCTGACAGAGCATTAAGAAGATGACTATTAAAATATTTACAGGATATTCCACATTCTTGATAACACGCTGGAAGACCAAATAATATGGGTTTAAAAAAAAAAAAAAGGTGTGAGAAAACATTGACAAACAATTATAGCAGAAATTGAAAAATATAACCCAAGCTGTGACTGTATAAACACAATTACATGCACTGGGCTGGAAGTATCAATATGACACTGTGTAGGTTGCCATGTGGTGCTGTGATAAATGGCATTTTATAAAAGCAGTCCTTCTACAACACTGGAAAAGGTACTAACACTGCAAAAACTTCCTGCAGTCTCAGTCTGCCTGAGAGCTGGGACTCTCCCAAAAACTTCAGAGAGCAGAGAAACACAGGTTTTGGTAGGAGGATTTTTACAGCACAGCCCTGGCAGGGGCAGTGAGACTCAGCATCACCATTCCCACTTTCAGGCAGAGGAGCTGAAGAGCAGAGCTGGGCACTGAGCTCCGTAGGGTTCCATGGGTGCTTGGGAATCCTCTGTGGGATGCCACAGCATCGCTGGGGAGATGGGCTCTGACCAACACCCCCCACTTTCCCAATGCAATATCAGGTTATTTTGGAGATGTTTGACATATTCATGCGTGGAAGTTTGATTTGTCTGGGGACACATGCCAAGGGGAGAGGGATCTCTTCTGCTGATTACACTGATGCTTGTGATGGGTGCAATTAGCTCGTGAACACCCATTTTTCTTGGCTCCTGTCCTCTCCTTGTCCTGAAACTGGCAAAAGCTACCAGAAATTCAGCTAAAAAAAAAAATCCTCTGTTATTAGCATGGGCAGGTTTTAAGTCCATCGTAACCTGTAAGAGGGCAATGGCAAAAAGTCACTTCATGGGTCAAGACATTTTTCAGTGTGGGGGCACCCGTTTGGAGACTCTTGTAACAGACTACACTCGTAATGCACTTTTTTTTTTGTTATAAGAATCCTTTCTTTTAAAGCACAGTGGTGCACAATTTCAAAATATTTTGTCCTCCTGAAAACAAGCCAGATTTTTTTTTTAAGCAGCTTCAGACTGAAAAGCTTAATGAGGCAATTTCCTTGCAGCCAGGCTTGGGGAAGGAAGGGTGGTGACAGGAGGAACATAAGGCTTGAGCATTTGGAGTCCGCTTTGTCAGTTCCTAAGCACCCTTAGATATGATCATTTACACCATTACTATACAAACTTCTGATGGGCAACATGATGACATTTAATGTATGAAGACACTAAAATCTCTAGGTAACCCTATGGAGAAATTGGGTCGTTTCTTATGTCTTCATTTTGTACATAAAATCAATTAAGGGGCCTCGACTGGAATTGCCACATGGATTTTATTTCATATGGGAACCCACAGGCCACTGTGTATTATTTCTCTGGTCTATGCCTTGGTTTTGAACTTAAAATAATGTACCACTGAACTCTTTAAAACAAAGAAACTTATGGTAAAATGACCAGCACACTGCATTCAGCATGAAATAGCTTCCCAAAAAAGTGTTGCCATTTGCATACTAAAGCTCCTTGGATGTTAATCTCATAGGTGAAAGGAAAAAAACCCCCTAATTTATAGTATATTACCAGCCTGGTTGTCATAGTGTGATAAGGCAAGTGGCTTTATTTTATGAATGGGGGCACCACTGGAACTTTCTGTCAATCCAAAGTTCAGTGACATACAAAATGCAAAAAAACCATCAGGACAAACAACCTGGCATTCCCATGACACAGTTTTTTTTAGCCCTTCCTAGTTTCATGGGGATCTGCTGTATGTGTACATATTTTACTGGTGAATTTTCATTTTGCTCTAGATCGCCCTGACAAGAGAAAATTAAAGCTTTACAAATGTATCAAAGAAACAAAACATGAATTGCATTGTTTTCAGCAAATCTTCCTTGAAAGGACACTGTAATGCACTGCAGCAATGGCCCCAGATTTTCCAATAAAGGGGCTGGGCCATTCCTTCAGAATACTGCAGGGTTGCCTTTGTTGTTTTTTATAAAAAACTTTTTTAAGTGTGTGTCACATGGATTAACTTCCCCATTCTTCTATATGGTCTAGTAGTTTTAATGATTAAAATAGTTCTGGTACTTTCCATTCCATAGTTTTATTTTTACTTCAGCATGTACAGAACTAAAAAGGCAATTAACTTTTGGTTGTTATTTTTTTTTATGTTTTCTGAAACTCTTTCATCCCTAAGTGATTTTACTAGCACACTTGAAATGCATTTGGAGGAAAAGAAAAGCTTTTCTGTGTCTGATGAGGGGTAGCTTCATGGCTGTGATGGAAATGCTGGCAGTGAAAATAACTGGAAGGAGGAATCAGCAGCTCTATGGCATGATCTACTTATTCAAGTCAATAAGAATTGAAGATTTCAGTTTCCATTCATGACAATCTTGAAAGAAAACACAACCACTAGGAAAGATCCTGCAGCATATTCTACACAATTAGTTTTCCTGAACTTTTCTACACCTCTGTAAGTCCTATACTGGCCCCTAGCTTTCAGTTTTGAACTGGAATTTACAGTTCACTGGCAAGCTATGAGGGAAAGCCACTCTGACTTAACTAGCAGGCTCTTGCTTTGCACTGGCAATTACTGGGATTTTCAGTCATGATGGCTCCAAGCTCCAGGAGCAGCCTGTGACCCACATCCTCTCCATCTTGCAAAAATCATGGCTGGATCGATAAATTAAAAGGAAAAAAAAAAGGAAAAAAAAAGGGGAGGATATTGAAGAGGCATTTTATAGCTGGTTTAGGAACTTGGCTTGGGTTTCTGCCATAGACTTTATCCTGCTGGTTTCAAGTCTTCCTTGGCCCCCCATCCAAATAGTCTCCTTTGGATGATGGTGCTCCCTGCATCAGATCCCACCCCAGCTGAGCAGCAGTGTCCTTCTCCACAAAGAAGATCACTCCTCTCAAATGCCAATAGTGGAGGACTATCACAAGAAGGTAAACCATTTCAGTCACACCTCTTCTACCTCCTTCTTCCTTCTCAATCTGTCCAGAGCTTCCGTGAGCATACAGGGACTGCAGTTGTGTATTTACTACACCTACTCCCACCTCCCTGCTCCAGCAGGGTCATCCCAGAGCACATGGCACAGGATTGTGTCCAGACAGCTCTGGAATATCCCCAGTGAGGGAGACTCCACACCCTCTCTGGGCAATCTGTTCAGTGCTCAGTCACTGCCCACTCAAGATGGCACTCATTTGGGAATCCAGAGAAAATACATTATGGCAGCATTTAAGGAAGAAAACAAAGACTGCAAAAGTACTGTTTAACAAGGTTAAAATATTCTGCTAAATTTAAATATTGCTTAGCCCTTGGCAAGATCTTACCTATGTGGTGAGGGGTTGTGCATCAGGAACCACAGAAAAAATAAAGCCAAAGCCTGAGCCAGTTAAAAACCAGGCTGAGGAAATCCCACTTGCTGCCCGAGTGGATCATTTCTCAAGGCCTTCCAAAAGCCAAATGCAACCCTACTCTCCTTTACAATCAGCTGCCGAAGAGTAACAGTAGGGCTGTTGTTATATATAACATATATACATGAAAGCAATATATACATACAAAATATATGTATGCAAACAATGCAAAATACTGAGCTATAACTCTACTGGACACTTTTTGATCCCCCTGCATTTCCCGACTGGATTTAGGAGCCTGGATCCAAACCTTAGGTGCTTGGCTGAGTGCTCGAAGCCCCAAAGCTGGGAATGCTCAACACACCTTCTGGCATTTTTGTGTTAAAGGGTGGTTGGTCTTCCACATATGCATTAATTAATTCACAAATTAACGCCCCGATCTCTTCCTCTTGCTTAAAACTAATTGCAAAAGGGAAATCAGGAGAAGACTTTTTTTTACCTGGTATGATAAATGGGAAGG